AGAGGGGCTGCAGCCCCTCACCGTGGACTCAGGGCAATCTCTGCTCCAGCACCTCCTCGTGCTCCATCCGCTCTGACCCGCTGTTTGTGGGGCTGTTTCTCTCCATCTCAGCCCTCTCCGGATCACTGGGCCCAGTGGCACCCTGGCACAGGATGCTCCCACGCTCTCCCTGCTGCATCACCACGGCCATCTCCAGCCGGTGGATCGTTGCCGCCTTCCGTCGGATAAGCTGTGCCGTGGTTGGTGGTGTCGCCACTCTTCCCTGATCTTCTGGTGCACTTGGTTATAATTTGGGTTGAGGCCTTTGTGCTCCTTTGCAGCTGGTTTGCAGTTGACTTCACCGTTCAGAGACCCTGTAGTTTGCGGTTCACCCGCAGCTTTTTCTGGGCTTGGTGTCTGTATTCCAACTGTTTTCTTGATATTTGAACGTTTCAGTGGAGGGGAAGTAGGGGCAGTTGTTGACAAGATTTGAGCTCCTTGGGTACAGTGTGACCGAGCCCTTTTGGGTGGAAGGATTAGCAGCACAAGCTCTGGGTGATGTTCTCTTGGCCACAGATTTCGGATGTGTAGCCCTGTCTGCTTACTCTCCCTACTGGAGAGACGCTTTGGACAAGGGGGTGTAGTGACAGGACACGGGGCAATGGCTTTGAACTGAAAGAGGGGAGATTTAGATTGGATCTAAGGAAGAAATTCTTCACTCTGAGGGTGGTGAGGCACTGGCACAGGTTGCCCAGAGAAGCTGTGGCTGCCCCATCCCTGGAAGTGTTCCAGGCCAGGCTGGATGAGGCTTTGGGCAACCTGGTGTAGTGGAGGGTGTCCCTGCCCATGGCAGGGGGGTTGGAACGAGATGATCTTTGAGGTCCCTTCCAACCCAACCCGTTCTGTGGTTCTACTTGGTTTGCTTTGGGTATGAATGAGCAAAGGATTCTCTTTTCCTGGAAAGCAAGGTAGATGATTTTGGAGGTGACCCTAACTCAGTTTTCATTCTCTATGTCTTGATTCAGCTTTGTGTGATCTTCCTTTGTTTTCTTTGGATGGTAGAATGTCTTCCTTTCAAGCTTACTAGATTGAAATGACACGAGTGAATGATCAGGTCGTACTACGGCACGTTCTGATTGTGTTCTTTCTTCGTCTTCTCTTTGAAAACAGGTACTTTGCCATTAGCCTCCCAGGAATCCATGATTGTGGAGGACCTGCTGTACGTTCTGATAGGTGTGGATGGAAGATACATCACAGCACAGCCTCTCGTAGGCCGGCAGAACCGAGCGTTTTCAGTCGATCCGAACTTGGACTTGTCCATCAAAGAGCTGGTGACCAGGATTCTTCCCGTAGCAGCAAGTTACTCTGCTGTCACCAGGTACCAAGCTGACTTCTGTCAGAGGAGGATGTTCTCCTTTGAGCATCAGGTTGTAGAATAGAGAGAATAACATCTGTCATTGTGCAGATGTTAACTTCCAAACTTAATTTAAACCTATGGGGATATAAAATAAGAATGACAATTTCTTTGAATGGGCTTTAGCTACTTTTCTTTTTGCTGGGTTTCTCCTCTGTGCTGCTTGTTCACTTCTTCGTTCATCTCACTGCAGCTTTGTCCAAACTTGGTCTTGGTACATTCAGGCAAAGTACAAATAGGATTTGTCTGCTTATTCTGGTTTGTCTTTTCCCACTCTGCTTTTTTCCTGCTTTTTTCTCTCTTCTGCGTATCCAGGACTGAGATAACCTTTGTGTGCTTCTGAGCGGGAGAACCTACTGCTGCCTAGTTTCTGGTAGCTACCTTAAGTAGAATCACAGAATCACAGAACGGTTTGGGTTGGAAGGGACCTCAAAGACCATCCAGTTCCAACCCCCCTGCCATGGGCAGGGACACCCTCCACTACACCAGGTTGCCCAAAGCCTCATCCAACCTGGCCTTGAACACTTCCAGGGATGGGGCAGCCACAGCTTCTCTGGGCAACCTGCTCCAGTGCCTCACCACCCTCAGAGTGAAAAATTTCTTCCTTATATCCCATCTAAATCTCACGTTTTTCAGTTTAAAGCCATTGCCCCTTGTCCTGTCACTACACGCCCTTGTCAAAAGCCCCTCTCCAGCTTTCCTGTAGGCCCTTTAGGTACTGGAAGGAAGTAGTTGTTAAAAAGTCTTAGCATAAGGTACACCTCGCTAACAGCAGATGTTTGCTGTGTAGATGTCTGCGTTTCATTCAAAGTCCCCAAAAGATCAGCAAAGGGAAGGACGAATTTTTAGGATGTGATTCATCCAGCCTCTTTCATGTGTGTCCTTCCAGATGATTATGACTTGTGTTCAGAAGCATCTGTCTCTCTCCACTAATGTGTATGGAGCCATTGGAACCATTCATCACTGGTCAGATGAATCCCTACCATGACATGTGGTGTCAGAAGCTAGCAGCAGTGCTTTCCCCACATTTCTGGGTGCACATTGCTTGCTTTTGAGATCTTTTCCTGTCCTCTAATCTGTTGCTTACGCAAAAGACAGTTGCCTTGAAAAATCTTGGCTCTTACTTTTTGCATAGCTGTTTTATAAATAATTCTAGTTCCTCTGCAGTTTGAGAGGAAATGTCTTCCCGCAGCTTTCTGTACTGGGAAATGTGGTAATGGGAAATAGAGGGGCACAGAGCAAACGTGGAACCTGAAACTCCAGCTGAAGGCTGGTGCACTTTCCAACACACAATCTACTCGTTCTCTGAAGATAAAATTCCTGAAAATGATAGAAGTTGCCTTGCCTGAAAGAGTTTCCATTTTGATTTTCACAGGTTTATAGAGGAGAAGTCTTCTTTCGAGTACGGACAGGTAAACCATGCTCTGGCTGCTGCTATGCGGACTCTAATCAAGGAATACATGATACTAATTACCCAGCTGGAACATCTTCAGAGACAGGGACTTCTGTCACTGCAGAAACTCTGGTTTTACATCCAGCCCACAATGAGGACCCTGGAGATTCTTGCTTCACTTGGTAAATTTCAAAAATACGGTCCTTACATTTTGACAGGTACATGACAACTTCTGAAAACGGCACAGAGCAGCAATGCAGGCAGGACATGTGTCATTTTAATTTTATGTTGTATTAAAGAAGAAAGCCAAGGGGAATTGTACTTGTCAGAGCACTGCTTTTGGTTTTGTTTTCCAGAGGGGTGGGCTCTAGGACGGAATCTGCCCTTCAGAGCTGTCGTGAGGCATGTCCGTGCCTTTTACCTTCACAGTCCATGCCCTTCAGTTCAGTTATTTCCACCACTGCTGTCTCTACTCAGCTTCTTCCCAGATGCCTCCCCAGCTGTGTGTGGATGTATAACCACAAACTGATTCAACCAGAAGGAACCCCTGGAAGTTTCTAGTCCAACCCCTTGCTCACAGCTACAGCAGGTTGCTCAGGGCCATGTCCGGGCGAGCCTGGACAGTCTCCAGCAGTGGAGGTCCTCCACTGTTCTGGGCCCTTTCCCATGACTTCACCACCCTTTTTGTGAACAGTGGTTCCTGTACCTCCAACTGGAACTTCCCTTCTTGTAACTTTTACCCATTTGATATTGTCACTGTGCTCCTCCAAGAGGAGTTTCTACCATCTCTAGAACCGTTCATTGGATAGTGAAAGAATGATGCTCGACAACCCCCAGCTTCATCTTCTCTCAGCTAACAAGCCCAGCTCCCTAAGGCTCTCCTTGTATGCCCTGGGCCCCAGCCTCCCACCATCTTACTAACTTCTGCTGGACTCTTCATTTTGTCATTCCTACTGGGGACCCCAAACTTGAGGGAAGTGTTCCAGGTGTGGCCTCACCAGTGCTGGGCAGAGGGGGATAAGCGCTGGCCACGTACCCCTGGGTGCAGTTGATGTTCATTGCTGCAAGGACACGCTGCTGGCACAGAATCGGCTGGTTGTCCACCAGGACCCCCTGGTTGTTCTCTGCAGTGCTGCTTCTCAGCCAACTGGTCCCAGCCTGTGCCGTTGCACGAGGTGGTTGGTCACAGATGCAGTTACCTCAATAATTTGGGTTAAACTCTTTGGCATGAGAACGGCTGTACATTACTCAGCACAGAAAATTTATCTGGATGTAAATATCTCCGGGGGTGACCTTATAGCGGTCTTCCAGTACCTCAAGGGGGCCTACCAGAAAGATGGGGAGAGGCTGTTCAGGAGGGCCAGTTGTGATAGGACAAGGGGTAATGGTTTTAAAATAGAGGGAGGTAGATTCAGATTGGATATTAGGAAAAAATTTTTTACCATAAGAGTTGTAGAACACTGGAACAGGTTGCCCAGAGAGGTAGTGGATGCTTCATCCCTGGAGACGTTCAAGGCCCGGTTGGACGAGGCCCTGAGCAACCTGATCTAGTTGGAGATATCCCTGTTCCTTGCAGGGGGGTTGGACTAGATGACCTTTGAAGGTCCCTTCCAGCCCTAACCATTCTATGATTCTATGATTCTATGATCTGTTCTATTTACAATCTGTAACTGAATGTTCCCTCTTGGTATTGGCTTTTCCTGAATTTTTCAGTTTTTTGGAACACGGCAGTTAGCCAGCTACCTTGAAGTAGAAAAGATGTGAAACTCCTGGCAGTACTGTATTCCTGTCCCTACATCCCTTTTGCGATGACAAAGTACCAATTTCACTGTCAGTCTCCCTGAATCCCAGTGTTGGAGCTCCGTGCATGGTTGCCTCAGCGTTACAGTTGAGAACAGAAGTGCTTTTGAGCTCAGAGGTTTCTCAAACGAGCCACTGAAGTGGATGGTTTTCCCATTTCCACCTGGAATGTGGATCTCGATATATAGGAGGCTTTTAGACTGTGTCAGCTTTTTGTCTAACATCTCTATTTTTAAATTTCAGCTACTTCTGTGGATAAAGGTGAGTGTATGGGAGGATCAACCCTGAGCTTGCTCCATGACAAGACTTTCAATTACACGGGGGACAGCCAGGCCCAGGAGCTGTGCCTGTATTTAACCAAGGCAGCCAGCGTGCCTTATTTTGAAATTCTGGAGAAGTGGATATATCGAGGCATCATTAATGATCCGTACAGGTAAAGAACAGTTATGGAATGAAAATGAAATGCAAAAGTTAAGAAATACTGTTTGGGTCTTTGGCTTCTACTTTTTCAGTGCCCTCCTCCCTCTGCTTTGTAGAGTCTGCACAGCCTGAGGGCCTGGACCTGGCAGCAGCAGGTGGAGGAGGCAGCACTGCAAGGAAGGGGAGCTGCTGGGGCGTGTTTAATTACATTTCTTATTTGATTCAGTGGTTTTACAGCAGGAGGCACTCTCACTTGCTTTATTTTTTCCAAATTCAAGGAAATTACATGCAAAACTCAATAGCAGAACTGTTCAAATATGCAGTCCGCTCAGATTCCACCTTACTGTGCCTGTCCCCCTTTAAGTCACAACCTCATCCTCTTCTCCTGGGGCACGAGTGTGCTAACCCAGTGAATCTGTTAAAGGTAGTCCACTAACGATCTGATATGAGCTAATGACACTCCCTGAAGTTTCTTGGCTTTTGTGGAATCATACGAAGCATTTCGCTGTGTTTAATAGTTTATGCAGCGTTCCGGTTTCCCACATTTTCAGAATCCTAAGTGGGGCAAAACTCAAGTGAAACTAGCTAAAATTATTGCCTTCCTGATGGTGAGAAGGCTGACTTTTAAAAGCCAGCTTCCTCACCTCCACACTGAGAACCAAATAACGTTTAGACTTGGTTTGTGAACCCTCTCAAATTCTGTTTCTGCTGTAATTGATTGCAGATGAGCAGAAACACTCTGCGTAGTGCTTCTTCTTTTACTGCAGATACAGACTAATTTCAGTTCTTGATTGGAATGTGTTTTTGTGAGACGTTATTTCTGATAGATCATATTACCAGTTTACAGGTCAAAAAAAAAAATAATCCTCATTGTGCTTCTTCCTGCTTCTAAATATCTGTTTTAACTGTTCAGTGAGTTCATGGTGGAGGAACATGAGCTGCAGAAGGAGAAGATTCAGGAGGACTATAATGACAAGTACTGGGATCAAAGATACACTGTTGTTCAGCAACAGATTCCCTCATTCTTGCAGAAAATGGCTGACAAAATACTAAGCACAGGTAGGTAAAGATGCACTTCTGACATGAGAGGAATCTTGAGAGGAGCATTACCATTCCATTCTTTTTGTAAAGATAAGTGTCGCCATGCTTTGGCAGGATATGGGATTGTCCAGCCGAACTTCTCAGAGGAGCAGAAGAATCAGATTTAAAAAGAACCTCGAATCCTGAGGCTGAGAGTGTTGGGGCTGTTCAGCCTGGAGAAGAGAAGGCTCCGGGTGATCTTATAGCAGCCTTCCAGTACCTAAAGGGGGCCTACAGGAAAGCTGGAGAGGGATTTTGGACAAGGGTGTGTAGTGACAGGACAAGGGGCAATGGCTTTAAAATGAAAGAGGGCAGATTTAGATTGGATCTAAGGAGGAAATTTTTTATGATGAGGGTGGTGAGGCACTGGCACAGGTTGCCCAGAGAAGTTGTGGCTGCCCCATCCCTGGCAGTGTTCAAGGCCAGGTTGGATGAGGCTTTGGGCAACCTGGTGTAGTGGAGGGTGTCCCTGCCCATGGCAGGGGGGTTGGAACTGGATGATCTTTGAGGTCCCTTCCAACCCAAACCATTCCATGATCCTGTAAATAAAACAACACATGGGAAGGAGTCCAGCAGCAAGGGAGGCTGGCTGTCTTACTGCTTCATTTCATGGGTACAGTTTTCTAGCAGCTAGCTAGGTGGAGCTAGACAGCTGAGGTTTGAACATGCTGAGTTTTATTTCGGGTGTGTAAATGAAGCATGCAACCTGATGGCTCCCATTCTTCTCTCCCATAAGTGAAAGAACCCTCTAAAAGCTGCTTCTGAAGTGCAGCGCCGGATCTGCAAAGTTTCTGCCTATCTGCAGAGATGTTTTGCCACCACTGGGAAACAAAACCGTTTCTAAGTCTCTCCTTAAATGTGATACTAGGTGCCCGATTTAAAATTCTGTATCAGGTTTTGAAAAGGGCCTGAATCCTTCCCAGCTTTCAGTAGAACTTAGTGTAAACGTTTCACAGCACATCTTTCCCTTGAAGGCAGCGGCCTGAAAATTTTCCTGTTGGATGTACTGTAGGTACGAATATGGGTCACTCTTTCTTTTTGCTCCTAGGGAAATATTTAAATGTTGTGCGAGAATGCGGACGTGATGTTACCTGCCCTGTGGCCAAAGAGGTCATCTATACCCTAAAAGAGCGAGCGTATGTGGAACAAATAGAAAAAGCATATAACTATGCTAGCAAAGTTCTTCTGGATTTCCTAATGGAGGAGAAAGAGCTGGTGGCTCACCTGAGGTTTGATTTATTTTACTGTTAAATAGATCAGTTCTGGTAGTGGGCATAAGTTTTTGAAGTTAGTTCTCTTTTCTTGGGGTATTATTCATGTGTTCTATTTCCATTAGAAAGGTTGACCTGAAAACATAAGATGTGGGTTTTTTTTCTGAAGTAAAAAAAAAAAAAAAAAAAGTAAAATCATAGAAATGCTGGGGGGAAGGATGTCTGGGAGTCTCTAGTCCAGCTTCCTCAGAACGCTGTTGCCCAAACTACGTCAGGGCAGTTGTGTCTTTGTCTAGCCTAGTCCCGAAACCCACCCTCAGGTAGGGACATCCCCTGGCTCTCTTGTGGCTTGTCCCATGGCTGCATGTCACTCCCACCCAGGAAGGGGGTTTCCTAATATCATCTGGTATGATCAAGAAGAGTTTAATGTGAATAAGAGATGGTTTGATATTAAGCATCTCACCAAATATATGCCCTGGTTATTGTTCATGCAAACATAGGTAGTTGGAATAGAGTATTAGTCCCAAGTTCCACAACAGGAACTATGGCTCCAACTAAGAAAGGTTGTGGGAAGACCTGAAGATCCATGGTTCATGCCTTTGAACCTGATATGTGCCTTCCTGCCCTGTGAAAACCACCAGAGGACACGCCTTGTTTCATGAAAGGTTATAAGGGCTGTCCAAAGCCTGTCAGTTATTAAGGAGAGTCTTCCTAGCCTTGCTAATGACCGTCATGCTTCCAAGCCTTCTTTGCTTAATAGGACTGTTCAAAAGACACTGACATCTGGAGCTCTGGTGGCACGTGTCCTCTGTCAGGCCCTTCTATCACAATGTAGTTTCGAATTAGGGTGTTGCTCAGCCTCTCCAGCTGGGGTTGATGTCTATGACCTCCTCATCTTTGAAACAGGCTCTCTGCTAGATCGTTCGGCATATTATGCCTGACAAATTTGGTGGCCTTCTACGATGGGGTTACAGCATGGGTGGATAGGGGAAGAGCAACTGACATTGTCTACCTGGGTTTGTGCGAAGCATTTGACACTGTCCCGCACCACATCCTTGTCTCTAAACTGGAGAGACATGGATTTGACGGATGGACCACTCGGTGAATAAGGAATTGGCTGGATGGTCGCACTCAAACAGTTGTGGTCAACGACTCGATGACTAAGTGAAGACCAGTGATGAGTGGTGTTCCTCAGGGGTTGGTATTGGGGCCGGTGCTGTTTAACATCTTTGTTGACAACATGGACAGTGGGATTGAGTGCACCCTCAGCAAGTTTGGTGATGACCCCAAGCTGTGTGGTGTGGTCAACACACTGGAGGGAAGGGATGCCATCCAGAGGGACCTTGACAGGCTGGAGAGGTGGGCCTGTGAGAACCTCATGAAGTTCAACAAGGCCAAGTGCAGGGTCTTGCACATTAGTTGGGGCAATCCCAGGCACAAGTACAGGCTGGGCGAAGAACAGATTGAGAGCAGCACAGAGGAGAAGGTCTTGGAGATGCTGGTTGATGAGAAGCTCGACATGAGCCGGCACCGTGCGCTTGCAGCCCAGC